GTACCACAGCCAGGAACATAGAACCATAACACCTCTATCAGCTGATCCAACAGGAACATAGAACCATAACACCTCTATCAGCTGATCCAACAGGAACATAGAACCATAACACCTCTATCAGCTGATCCAACAGGAACATAGAACCATAACACCTCTATCAGCTGATCCAACAGGAACATAGAACCATAACACCTCTATCAGCTGATCCAACAGGAACATAGTGACCCCAGTGACCGGAGTGATCCCAGTGACCCCAGTGACCCCAGTGACCACAGTGACCACAGTGACCACAGTGACCACAGTGACCACAGTGACCACAGCGACCACAGTGACCACAGAGGACCACAGTGACCACAGTGACCACAGTGACCACAGTGACCACAGTGACCACAGTGACCCCAGTGACCACAGTGACCACAGTGACCACAGTGACCACAGCGACCACAGTGACCACAGTGACCGGAGTGACCTCAGTGACCCCAGTGACCACAGTGACCTCAGTGACAACAGTGACCACAGCGACCACAGTGACAACAGTGACCACAGCGACCACAGTGACCACAGTGACCCCAGTGACCACAGTGACCCCAGCGACCACAGTGACCACAGTGACCCCAGCGACCACAGTGACCACAGTGACCACAGTGACCACAGCGACCACAGTGACCTCAGTGACCACAGTGACCACAGCGACCACAGTGACCACAGTGACCACAGTGACCACAGTGACCACAGTGACCACAGTGACCGGAGTGACCACAGTGACCGGAGTGACCACAGCGACCATAGTGACCACAGCGACCATAGTGACCGGAGTGACCACAGTGACCGGAGTGACCACAGTGACCACAGCGACCACAGCGACCACAGTGACCACAGTGACCCCAGTGACCCCAGTGACCGGAGTGACCACAGTGACCACAGTGACCACAGTGACCACAGCGACCATAGTGACCGGAGTGACCACAGTGACCGGAGTGACCACAGTGACCACAGTGACCGGAGTAACCTCAGTGACCGGAGTGACCACAGTGACCGGAGTGACCACAGTGACCACAGTGACCGGAGTGACCACAGTGACCTCAGTGACCACAGTGACCTCAGCGACCACAGTGACCTCAGTGACCGGAGTGACCACAGTGACCGGAGTGACCACAGTGACCACAGTGACCCCAGTGACTGGAGTGACCCCAGTGACCGGAGTCAACTCTAAGGATCTAAATGTCTTTGATGAAAATCTAATACGACAGAACTGTTTCGACTCTCACATTGACCCAGACTCTACTTTCTTCAGAAATCTACTACTACTGCTACTACAGCGAAACACTTTTTAACATAGAACTCAAAGCTACTAATGGCTTTTCATTAATACACTTTAATGCCCGTAGCCTTAATGCAAATAGTGACAAAATCAAACTATATATTCAGTTCATAAATAGATCTTTTGACATCATTGCAATCTCAGAGACCTGGCAAACTGACTCAAACACTGTTGACCATTTTTGACCCGATTATGTGGCTTTTCATATGAATCGCAAACTCCAAAGAGGTGGAGGGGTTTCACTGTTTGTTAAAAACACACTTTCTGCGAGATTGGTAGAAAGTCTCTCCCTCTGCTGCAACAACCTCCTTGAATCTGTCACCGTAGACATTGAGCTAAAACAGAACAAACATATACTCGTCTCATGCATGTATAGAAAGCCTGGAAGTAATCTTGAGGAATTTAATGAACAAGTAGAAAAAATGCTCAGACCTCAGAGAATTAAAAACCTTTATGTGTGTGGAGATTTCAACGTTAATTTATTAAAATACAACTCGCTCCAACAGGCGAGACACTTCATGGATATGTTTTCTTCTCTCGGGCTTCTCTCTCTAATAACCAAACCAACCAGGTTAACTAGCACTACTGAAACGTTATTGATAACATGTTCACTAACGTCCTTGAAACGGAACATCATAGTGGGGCCCTCATCACTGATGTCAGTGATCACCTGCCAATATTCACAATTTGCGGAAAAGAACCTGTAAATAACAAAGAACAAAAGACATACATAACTAAGCGGACATTAAATGACAGTTCACTAAATAAATTAAATATTAATTAAAAAAATGAAAAATGGCAAGAAGTATTTGAGATTCAAGATGTAAACAAATCCTATAATGAGTTTGTAAGGATTTTCATGCAAAACATGAACGAATGTTGTCCATATATTAAAATTAAGATTGGCAACAGGAATAATAATGACTCAAAACCCTGGTTCACTTGTGGACTGAAAAACGCTTGCTGTAAAAAAAATGCACTCTATAGGACATTTTTGAAAAGTAAAAGTACTGAAGATGAAAGTCGTTATAAATTGTATAAAAACAAATTGACTACAATCCTTAGAAACTGTGAAAAACGATACTTCTCTGAAAAATTAGAAAATGCCATAGGAGATATGAAAACCACTTGGAAGGTAATAAATAGCATAATTAAGAAGAAAATAACTGACAACAGAAATGAATTCAAGAAATTCCAAACCGAAGGAAAAACCCCAACGGATGTTGCAAATAGCTTTAATGAGTTCTTTACTGAAATTGGCCCCAATCTGGCGAGTAAAATCAGCCCAACTTCATCTAAAGTGGATGATTTTCTGAAAAACAGCAACCAACAGAGTATGTTTCTGAACCCAATTACAGAAAATGAACTGCTTGATATTGTTAATTCTCAACACAGTAAACAGTCCAAAGATTATTTAGGACTTAGTATGAATATTGTTAAACAAGTTGCACCAAACATTGTAGCCCCCCTAGTAAATATATGCAATAAATCGTTCCAACAAGGTATTTTTCCCAATGAAATGAAAATCGCGAAGGTGATTCCGGTTTTCAAATCTGGTGATAAATCTAGTTTTAATAATTATAGACCCATTTCTTTGCTACCACAATTCTCAAAAATCCTGGAAAAACTCTTTAACAACCGTCTGGAGTCATTCCTCAGCAAATTTAATATACTATGCCCCAGCCAATATGGATTTCAGAAAAATCACTCTACTTCTTCAGCAGTAATTGAACTGGTTGAAGAAATTACCAACAACATTGAGAAAAAAATGATTACAGCTGGTATATTCATTGACCTTAAAAAGGCTTTTGATACTGTAACCATACCATACTGCTACACAAATTAGAACATTATGGCATAAGGGGTCAAGCCAAAGAATGGGTCAAGAGTTATCTGATAAATAGGCTACAATATGTGGATATAGACGAGGCGAAATCAAACAATCTTCCTATAACATGTGGAGTCCCTAAAGGATCAATTAGCATGTTATTCAATACAAAGTCTGAGATTAGAAATGACTGTATTATACGGATTTGCAATACAGAGATAGAGAAAGTTGGTGCATGTAAATTCTTAGGCGATGATACCCAAGTTCTCTGCTCCCATCATAATCTTGGTGATCTTGTTAAAATTGTTAATGCAGAATTAGAAATACTATGTAACTGGTTTGCAGTTAATAAATTATCTCATAATGTGGCCAAAAAAATGACATGTTATTCAATACAAAGTCTGAGAGTAGAAATGACTGTATTATACGGATTCGCAATACTGAGATAGAGAAAGTTGGTGCATGTAAATTCTTAGGACTCATTGTTGATGAAAAACTCAACTGAAAGCACCATATAAATTATGCACAAACTAAACTGTCAAAAACAATAGGTATTTTGTATCGTACTAAGAACATTCTCGAGGATAAAATACTCGGAACTCTTTATAACAGTCTATTTCTCCCTTACCTTTATTACTGCTCCGAAATATGGGGAAACACGTACTCAACAAATCTACAAAAAATAATAACATCTCAAAAAAAAGTATTACGAATAGTCTGTGATGTTGGTAAATATGAACACACAACTCCCATATTTAAAAAACGCAATCTATTCAAATGTGTTGATATAGTTAAGCTTAAAACAGTACTGATTATGCACAACATTTTCCATAACAAAATGCCTACTAACATTCAAAAGCAGTTCCAGGCCACAGTCATGAAATACCCAACCAGGCATCCTAACTGGTTGTGTAGCAAGCCCTGTAGAACAAACATCAAATCACACAGCTTATCCATAATCAGAGTTATTCAAGTATTACTAGTCATCAACAATTCAAAACTAAAGTAAAAACAATTATATTTGCAGATTACTCCAGCTAACAAATATTGGATATTCCCAGTATTACTTATATAGATGTAGCACTGAATTTCGGACTCCAGTTTACAGCTTCCTGCCTACGACCTGCCTAAGACCAGTATAGAGGAATGTTAAGCCCTCCCACTATTTTCCAAGAGGGCGTTGCCAGATTTTATATTTCAGGTTTTAACCAGGAGATGGCGCTTCATTCACAAATACAGAAAGACAAGTTTCATGGACTATATTGATGCTAATGATGATGCACGGAAGGGCTACCTCCCCATAAGCATATTGCTTCAGCCCTCCCGCTTCTACTAATTTTGTTCATTTGTGTGTATGAATTATACGTTTTTGTTTTTGTATGATTTTAGAAGAATAAATAAAAAAATAAAAATATATATATTATTCAAATATAGCATGATAGGTCCACTTTAAGTAAAATATCTTCTTCCACCTCTGTTTAAATGCCACTCCTTAATTTGGATGAAGCTGTCAATAGAGGTTTTTAAAGATTTTTTATTTCGTCTAAGAAGGTCTTTAAATGGTTTTTCCCCTGCTACAGAACTTACTTAATGCCTTTGGGTTTCCAGTTGAGGAGCTGGAGGACAATAACTGACCGTTCCTGAGCCCCAAACGCTCGGCCTTGATTCATGGCTCCTGTACCCCTCACGGCCTTTCTCCTCTCACATAATGGAAAACAAAAGACCCTGAAAACTGGAAACATTTACCGCTAAAAGCCTCTCTGCTTGAAGGAAGCATATTAACGTAAATTAAGCAATGCATCATATATGTTTTTAAAAGAAAGCCTCCTCAGCAATAAGGTGGAAACTAGAGGCCATGATGAGGTTGCTTCTGTCTGCATCACCTGAAGTAGAAAAGGGAGAGTGAAGCACAGTATCTAATGCTTCCCTCATAATGAGAACACATCTAAAGGCTTTATAGGACATCCTTAAGTGTGTGAGATCTAAATATCACAGTACTGCTTGTGCTGCATACAAGTCCGGGTGATGTTCTGATTTAAAAATGGAATGCTTGGTTCTTGGCTGCGGTATTAGGAGCGCCCCTCTGCTGGAACTCAGTTGTATTGAAAAGGCCCTTTTGTGATTTTGGGAGTTCTCCGTTTCCTGTAGTGTGTTGTATCGGTTTTACGGTGCATGTACATACACATATAAACCTGGGAATGAGCATTATATGTCCTCTTTCACCTATCCACAAAAAGGCATAAAGAAATAATGGGAACTCCTATTTTATGTGTAATTTCATTATAAAATCTAGGAAATGTATTGAGATAAATTACTTGGGACCATGTTATTATAATCGAGTTAGTTCTTTCCAAAGAAGTAGGTAGTACGAAACCCATGTCAATGATTTGTTTATTATTCTGTTATTAGTAGAAACATTCTCATAAAGGATGCAGTCACATTCTGGTGATTATTTTCCCGGTTTTGTCTGGAAATTGTTTCTTCAGGTTCCTGTTTTTTGGCAGACCAACAGTAACACAATGATATTAAATACCACAAGATATTCAACAGGCAATGAAACAATTATGAAATACTGAACAGTAGAGTTTAATAATGTTAAATGTAGCTTTTATTTATAAGGTTCTATACACAGATGTATACATATATAATATGTAAACACCTAATTCTAGCAGATGCAACATTATGGTATTAAAAATGAATTGGATCTTGTTTGTTTTACCTTAATTTGACAGTGTTTTGCAAAGTTAGTTTGCCTCTGTTTCTCGCCTTAAGGCATGCACAGTCACCTGACCCATCCAGAGCTGTGTGTTAATCTGTTGTTGCTTATGTTTGCTGTTTGTCACAGAGCCATTAGCTCCTGTCACTCCTCATCTCCTCTTCCTCCCTCTCTCACATCAGCATCTCTCTATTAATTCAGCTGCCGACGCTCACAAAGTTGACTAGTGTTGGCAGCTTATTGACAATAATCTGTATAGAAGTTATGAAATGATATTAGTTAGAATTGCGAAGTGCTTCCCAGCTGTTGTTGGTAATTGCCAGATGCTGCCTCCGACTGCATCACATATAGAGCAAATAAACACTGTTTATTGCTTTTAAACTGACTGTTGTTTATGTTTAGACATTAGGAAAGTAGACAAGTGAAGTAAAGCGTTGCATATTATCTCCGCAGGTGCATGACAGCGACTCCACCTCGGAGTATTCGGATGATGATGTCGTCGTCCGGGGCCGCTCGGAGCTGGAGACGAAGCCCATCCTGTCTGTTCGTGAGTGTCCAGAGTTTGACAAGTTTTAAGGGGACATATCATTTATTACACACATCAAGTTAGACTGTTTTCATCTGGGGACATGTGATTCCTTGAAAAGTCTTCAAATTTAGTATAGTTCTATCACATGTAAAACATATTTGGTCCTGCAAAAAAAGTGCTTCAAAGGATATTTTTTGTAAAATGTTTTATTGAACTTATTTCTGCAAAGCATTTAACAACAACATAAAAAACACAAATAAGGAATTAATACATACAAGAAAGGTGCGAAACTTATATTTTAACCGTACCATAATTATTATCATTATTTTGTAATACTTTTTATGATCTACTTATTTAGTTAAACAGATGCACTTTCTTCAGAACATAAACATATCTTTTCATACAGTACAAGCAAATCACAACAAAGAAACAAGAACAAAGTTAATACCATTATTTCTCAAGAGTTATTATAATTTTTCTTGAGAATTAAAGAAGAATGAAATATTTTATATTTCTCCTATAAGATAGGTTTCAGAGTTTCTTTAATTATACAATTAAATTAAAGAATTGTAGATGTAATGTTTAATAGAAATCAAAGTAAATCATCAGGCTGCTCTTTGAGATGTCCCTGTCTCTGTGCGTGGTATTTACTGCGGACGGCCTCTTTGTTTCCACAGAGAGATCGGGGAGTCACGTAGATCATTTCGACATCGTGGAGCGGGTTGAGATGGGTCAAATGGCCTCCATGTTCTTCAACAAAGGTAATGTTCCTCTGGCCTCCAGCTTCCACTCTCACCCCCATTATTCAATTAAATGCAGACAGCGACATCATTAGCCACGTGTAACATTTATGGAGGAGCAGTGAAGGTTGTGTGGGATGAATCCGAATGAATATTTTTACACCTTTTTTAATGTCTGATCCTCGCATTCACAAAGGAATCTCTCCTGGCTCTCTAATTGGATGTAATTATATATGGATACATTGCCTTTGGATGTAATTACCTGTTTGAGACTCCATTAAATGTCCCTACTGTGCCTGAATGATTTGAGAGCTAATGAAGTCTTTTGTTAACTTTGTGACGGAACATTGAAAGCAGAATCACGTTCACCTTGAGCCCGGCGGCTTTACATTCCTCCTTCATATCAGCACATTGGGCCTCACCCCCCTCCTCTTGTCTGCTTGCATAACGCCGACCTGGCTCTTCCTCACCACGCGCGAGTGACTCAACAGTCTGCAGTGTCCCTGTTGTCGCAGGAATAAAGGAACAACAAAAGGTCAAAGCTCATGACAACATCATCTGCGCTGACATGCTCCGTCCTTCAGCTCTTCAGCACTAGGTGGAGCACTCGGCCCGCACGGTGTGACACTCTGCTCATTTTCACACCCACAGTGTAGAGGCACTCATGCATGCTGTCATTCAGCCCATGCTGTTAAAGCTGCAGTGTGCCCCGCCTCCTGTCACTCAGCTCCTCTGTCCTGCTCCTTAGAGGTGAAGCGCTAAAGAAAATCTTAGCTGAGGACCTTTGGTTGTGTGCAGGTGAGGCACGTGCTGGTATCGATTGGTAATAAGGAAATGAGTTTTCTCTCCTCTTCTCTGGTTCTATGGGAACGCTGCCCAGTGGCTCTCATCAGAAATGAATTAGATAGGCACGAGTCCCAGGACATGCGGAAGGAGCTCTTTTGTCTGTCATGACAGGGCCGACATGCTCACTTTCTACCTGATATGCAGAGCATTCACTTCACGGTGCCAGCTTCCTTTTTGTGAACAAAAGAAGACCTTTCACAGGTTGTCATTGACACTTTAACATATCTCTAATGTTAATTGGGAGACAAGAGAAACCTCATAAACTTTATTTGTAATAATTGTATTAAAATGATACAGAATCTTCCCGACATTCAATGCCAATTTTTCAAGCTCATTTCTATTATCTAATCGAATATCCCAAAATCCCATTCTAATAACGACGCAGAATTGCGTTTTTAAAAATTATTTTTATTCAAAAATATTTGCGTTATTTAAAACTTGTTGTTGGGCTTCTTTCAGTTTCACGTTCCAGTCACGTGCGATGTAGTGAATGTTTTTCCCTTATCTTTTTTATAGTACATTTGTGTTCTTGTACCCATGCTCTTATCCAAGATAATAACCAGCAGATTAATTAAAGTATTACCTAGCTGTATTCATTTCTGGCACTGCCTTGTGGTCAGTGTGCATTCACACTTCACAGATTTGCACTTTGCAAATAAATAGCTTAGTCTGAAAAGAAGACCAGCAGGCCAGAGCTGTTTTATTTGTTTACAACTGCACCGAAGTGCCTGAAAATGTTAATCTCAATCCTCTTCTTTGGGAATGGTTGTGTAGTTTGTCAGAAGTGACAACTTAATTCCTGAAGGAAACAAACCTTAATTGCGAGGTCTTTTTTGTGTGAAAAAACACCAGATAATCAGTGGTTCATCTTTTTTATAAAGCGGATGAAAAACAAAATGCAGTCGGCACTGACAACTGTATTCAACCATTTTTTCAAGTAGCTAAATAACAAGACACACTACAAACAAGATACAGGATCTGAAATCCGTTTTGACAGCACTCCCCCACCTCTTCACAGATAATAAACTGAAGCCTTGTCTTTCCCTGCTGCACCTTTGCAGACAATTAAAAGGCATCTCTCCTGCTGTTGAGGGGGCACTCTTAGAGGGCGTTTGACTTCCTCATGGACTGAAATTGACATGGCACTAGCGGCGAGGCAGGCTTGGAATAAGGCCATGAGTATCGTATCAGCCTGACCTGCCGCCACTGACAGGAATGTTGATGGGGGCTGGTTTATCTGCACCACTGTGGAAAGGTGTTAATAACCTTCATGTTGATGATTTGAAAGTTGATTAGAAGACGGCTTTGGCTAAAGTCACACAGAGAGAGAGCCTAGCAGAGAGCTGTCCTTGCATCAGCGTCTTGTCTCAGCTATTCTTCCCTCTATGACTTGACGTGCTGGTTAACATGGCCGACAGCACATGGGTGAAAAGTGATTTATTCCACTGTAACCGGTCCTTCAGTTTTTAATGAGACAAAAATGGGCACCTCCATTTTTAATACTTCAGTGACTTTTACCTAAATGTCACACTTGTACATTAAGAGTGCTGTCAAAGTGACAAATCTGTTGCGCCCGAGCCACTAAAAAGAGAAATGGACATGTTTGCCCCAGCTTGCACAACCGTTTCCCATGAGCCACTGCTGCTACACCACTGTGAGCTCTGTAAGGGATGTACTTTAATTGTAGGGTTTGTAAATTGTCTTATGTCTTTTCGTAACCACTATTCCTTAACCGTAGCAAAAATATCATTGGGTTAAGGAGAGATGTGAAGGAAAGATTCATCAGGACTTAGGAAATTACAACCCTGGTGCTAAGAGAATACAACTTCAGTTAGACCGGCGGATGTAAATATGATGCGCCAGTAATATTATTGAAGTGTGTCAACCGTTGGAAAACATTGTATCCAACAGCATAAGTGCATTGAGATTCTTTGCCCCGTACATTCGTTTGTCTAGTGTTATGAAGGCTTTATGAACATGGACAACACTGGAATTTATGTTCTTATTGAAAAGTGAAATGTGACGGTTGCTCGCACTCATCTTTCTGTCAAAAAGTTTTAATCCAAATTAGTATGAACATTTTTCAAGAAAATTTTACTTTATGCAAAATATGACTTACGGTACTTGTTAGGCCTACAAATCTATCAATGTGTATACCATTCAAACAAGTTGAAAACATTTAAAAATAAATCCTACAAGACTCAGTAAACACACATCATTTTACATTACTTCATATTTTCGGCTTTTGGCTTAAATTAGTGTTGAAAGTTGAAACCATAAGTGCTGAATAACCACCATAACTAACGTGATCTTCTTTTGTCGGTCACGATCGGTTGTTTCTGTGAATGGCCAAATGGTGCGTCACGTTAAATGGGACAGCATTATCTATTTTCTTGCGTAAAGGATGGTCCAGTGTATCTTAAACTAAAGGAGATTATAAAGGAAGCATTGACGCTTCTCTTATCATGCAAGTACTTGCACGTCACTTCCCTCAGTAAGGAATCTTCCTGAGCAAAATAAACATTTGGACTTTCTCAGACAAGAATCTTGATCTATGGAAGCTTGATTTGTTCCTCAAACTGAAAGACCGTTCAGTCCTTTCACACTTCCGTTCTGAGTCACATCTGGAGCTGTGGGAAACTCATTTGCCGCTTTTCAGTGACCTACAATGTACAAAATAGATTATCGTGAATTTTGGTTCGACCAAAAGAAACATTTGATGATCACCTTAGGATGTAGGAAAAAGCAAAACGACATTTTATTTTTTTGTATTTGTTCAAATGATTGACGGAGAAAATGCTCTGCAGACCATTGACAGTGACATTCCGTTTGTGACCTACATCAAACAGATGTAGACAAGGTAGAACTAAATCAGCCATGTCTTACTTTTACTGTCCCATTTACCTTTTTTAGAAACATTTTGTTGTTTCCTCCAGGGCGAGCTCAATTTAGATTTGTGAAAGTCTATAATATCAGTTAATCAACATTTGACTCTAATATTCCCCAAGAGGTAGAACTGTAAAATGAAGAGAGGAGGGTTAATGAGGTGAATACAAAGTTAAAATGAATTTAATAGGCTTCAGTGTAACAGTTGCAGTTATTATAATATAATGCACTTAACTGATTAGCGTGGTTTTTTTCTTCTATATCTGCTCTGAGAAGGTGTCAGGTCTGTCAGTCAGAAGCAAAGTATTATGATGGATTGTGATGGTTTTCACAGCTAGATGAAAGACTGCTACTACGTGAAGAACCATTTTTTAGAATGTTTTGCCCGTGGCTCTTGGTAATTGGGAAATATTAGTTCCAGTGCCGTGAAGGCTTGCCTCCCTGTGGTCATGCAGCGCTCTCTCCATGCTATCGCTTACTGACAGCGGCGGCGGAGTACAGTGCGTCCTGTATCTCCTGCTAAGACACTTGTATACTATAAATCATGGTGTAAAAGGTGATATTATGCAGAGTATAGAATGATGTGGACATGCATGTTTAATTTGTTTTACGTAAGACTGTCACCAACAATTGAAATAAGGTGATGCTGGAATAAGCAGCAGATTTTTTATATTTATTCGACTATGTATCATCAAACATTTGTGTCATGGTGTAAGGTCGACTTCTACTCTACTTTGATATGAGGGTGCAAGGGTGTTTCTGAACCCTCATTTGTAACATTTGATTATAGTTGAACCCATACAAAAAAAATCATTCCAAAAACCACATTTTCTTTGCCAACATGTCAATGCTGACTTGGTAATGATACATGCATTTATAATTTCCTGATTTGTGCAACTTTTACCTTACTTTCGTTTGAAATCGTATGGGAGACCCGTTAGACAGACCATTAAATCTCTTTCATCGTTTTTGAAAATATTGATTTGAATTGAAGCAAGCTTACAACTTTAGACATTTCTTCAATCATTGGAACCATCTCTGTGGATGGCCTCATTTAATATCAGTTCATGTTTTCATTGATGTATCTTTAGTTACTTTGAAAATGGCGTAAGTCTTATTACCACATTTAAGTAGAATGAGTTGTTGTTTTCTTGTCTCTTACCAAAGAGGGCTTTAACTTTGCATTATTTGCCCTATACAACAAAACAGTCCAATACAGTTTCATACACATCCTCTGGATAAAAAAACAGCCTATGATCAATTTTGATTATGATTTAAAATGTGGTCATCAGTGCGGGAAAATCTCATTATTTGAAAATATGTAATAGGGTCCCCTGGCAAGAAAATAAACAAATGAAAGTCAAATATTTTAGACATTGCATTTTGCACACATGTGCATGCTATATGTTACAGAAAATCAATTGGCAACTGTTTTCATGATGATTTAGTCAATTAAAATCTCAAATGTAATAATAACTCTAAGTGTGCAGCACTTAAAGGTGAACATTTGGTGCTTTTTGTCAGTTTGTATCAGTTAAAGTATAAAGTTTTGACTGTCGGACAAAACAATACTAAGACATTTGTTTGTATAATGTCTAAAATCGTATAGAGACCAAAGGTTTAATTGTTAAAAATAAATACCATCATCTAATTGCAGTACTCTTCAGCCCTCCAGTTTCCAATGTTGGATTCTGACCAGCTTTTTACAGCTAGACAAATGGGTGTTTATTCGTCTGCCAGATCCTTATTTTTTCAAGTTCTATAACAGCCTAATGTAAGTGTAATTTAAGAACCTCAGTCCTTAATTCATAAAAGAATCACTGTAGCCTGTGAAGCTGTGAATCTATCACGTTTTATTCCTTTTTTATGGACTCGGGCTCTAATTTCCTTGGCAGTAATGAATTAGCGGCGGGGTCCAGTTGGACGCTTGAACCCCCTTCTAAGAATTGAAGAGCATGATGGATGTGTGGTGCGCTGTGATGATCTGTCCGCTGGTTAAAGCCCTCCATCTTGTCTTGGCAAAGACAGCCGGGGTCGGGCCTGCCAGTCGAGTGAGGGGATGAAGAGAAAAAGGGCAGATGGTGAACAGTCCGTCGCTGTGCCGAGGAAAGGGCTGACGGGGAAAAATCCCTCCTTGGAGCGATTTGTTTTTTCAATAAATGCTGGTCATTTTTTCAATGGACCAATAAGTTGTGAGAAGGAATTGAGGGATGTGGTGGGTGGATGTATGGATGAGAGTACATTTTAATAGTGATGGATTTAAATGTTTTCAACTTGTTTGAATGGTATACACATTGATAGATTTGTAGGCCTAACAAGTAAGTCATATTTTACATAAAGTTTAATTTTCTTGAAAAATATTCATACTAATTGGGATTAAAATTTTTTGACAGAAGGATGTAGTATAGTGTTGAAGTTTGACAAACCCTTCATCTATTTTGTATGATTAATTGTTGATATAAGATGAAGAATGATATCGCTTGTCAATGTTGAACAAATTATCTGTTTATCAATTACTCACCCTGTGTTGCCTTGAATTCTAAAATAAACTTTGTTTATTCTCACATTCCTCCACTGTGAACAAGAGTAAAAAAAACAGTAAATCGAGTCGCATTTGACATAGAACAATTCATTTTATCGAAATTGCAATACAGACTCATGCGATATCCCAATTGCAGGATATGCAAAAATATGTGTTACAGTCGCACTCTTAAATAATGTGCTGCTCTACAAATTATAATCTACACATTTAAGAATAAATGTTTGTTGGTACGGATCAATGTAAAACAGTAAACCATGATCATTGCATTTAAAAAAAAAAAAAAAAAAGATTAATGCAAGAATGATTATCTCCAAAATCGTGAATCATATCGCAATATCAGTAGAAACGCCAATATGAGTTAAAATAGTCGCAATAAATTTTTTTGCCAGAAATCATCAAGCTCTTATTTGACAACACTAGAACTATATTTATTACAATGCGTTTACAAAGTCTAACCTGTGAAGTATAATCCCAGTCTCATTTGTCCCGTTCTCTAAAGGCCTACTGTTTTAAATACTTTGGGATGGCAAGCGTTAGACTTTTTTTGCAGAATGGTTTCAAATGGTAAGGTTTTCTGGTGAAAATGCATTTGTTTGTTCTTGCACACATCTGACTGTCTTGTTGTTCTCATGTTTGTCTTCCAGTTGGCGTCAACATGTTCTACATCTGCATCATAGTCTATCTGTACGGAGACATGGCTATCTACGCAGCAGCTGTGCCCATATCCTTGATGGAGATGGCTTGGTAAGACCATAAACTCACTTTATGACAATCATTCTTACTTTTATTTTATACTGCATATGTAGATGGATTCTTTAGAAGTCCTCCATTGGAATGTAACTTTGGGAATAAGAGCCCACCTGTCTACAAATGTTGGCTCCTCTGCTCAGACACTTTTGGTCTTATTGACACCTTCTGACCTCGAGATTAAGACAATAAAGCTTTGCTGATAAAAGCCTGTAGGCCCGCTGAGCTCTTACCTTCTGAGTCGTGTTGACTTGCTTCCAGACAGATTTTTATTGCAACTCGATTGGCTAGACTTGGGTGAGAATAAAGTATTTTATAGTTACAGACTCTGCCCTTCACATCCTGCACTACAAAAAGAACCATTACCCCTTTAGTGTTATAGTTGGATGATTTCAAAATGGAGAGATTCAGATACTTTTTTATAAAGTGTAATACATTTTCTTTAATAAATTGCCACCATTTTATCCCAATGTGTTTCCCTGACTTTAGTATATTTTTAAAATCTAATTTACCAGAAGTCTCATTGAGATTAAAGAATCTCTTTTACAAGAGAGTCCTGGCCAAGATAGGCAACAGCACAGTTACAGAAACAAATTAAAAACCAAGAACAGATAACATATCACTTTAAGTTTGTTACATTAAATTACATTACATTACATGGTACTTGTTAGACGCTTTTATCTAAAGCGACTTACATACTCAATATTGTGGACAATCCCCACAGAAGCAATTTGGGGTGAAGTGTCTCAGGGACACAACGACATGCTATCGAACTTGCTATCCTGTGATTCGAAGATCAGCGCACTAACCCACTGCGCCACATGCCTCCCTAAAAGACGCCTCCGTTTCAGCTCATATTGCAGCTGGATCCAAGCAAATGGAGCAGCAGAACTAAAGGCGCTTTAAACCAGCTCAGTATAGACTTTCGGGACAGTTAGTAAAAACAAGTCCTCGAACAAAGCCATAAAGTTCCTGTTCTTTTCCGAAAAGATGTAACCAACCACAACAGAGCCAGCCAGCTAACCAATCAGATGGTCAGATTTTTGAACAATAAATTATGCAAACATGTCACAGTCAAAGCACAAAACCTGAACAAATTAGAACAATATGTGCTCTATAAAAATATTAAAACATGTATCTTTGGGTGACAATGGATCACGGAAAATGAGAGAAAAAGTTTGAGTTTTTCATTTAAGCCCAATCCTTGCTGAGCCACACTCTTGATTATAATAATTAAGATAATTTAGATGGTTAAAAGACACACTGAGGTTTGTTTTAATTGCAGCTTATGTTTTGATCCCTTGCAGCACATAGACAAAATCTGAGATATTTCAACACAAATTATAATTAATTTACCTTCGCTTTACCATCAATAACGTAAAAATAAATTGATTCACAATAATACAATCATATTTGTGATTTGAGGTCGCAGAGTAAACTCCACATTCTTCTTCTCTTCTAAGTGTTGTGACAAAGCCTGCGTACGTCGTCCTGTCCTGAGGCGCAGCACACTGACGCTGTCTGATTGTATTAAATTCTCTCCCTCTGCTGTCCAAACCTCGCTAACCTTCCAGTAGGAATACATGTGAGATGTAACTGAGACTTCAAAAGCAGCTTGCTTTGCCCGAAGGCAGAGACGTCTCAGTAGCATGGGCAGAAGATTTTTACCAAAGCTCTGTCTGTCACGCAACAATGATCGAGTTTGTGATTACTTTTAAGATACACACAACCTCTGCTGCTCAGACTTTTTACATGACACGGTGTAATGAGATTTCAAACTTTGAATTTAAATATGATGGCCTGCAATGGACATCAGTTTCAGATGGCAATATCCCACAAAGTTGGGGTAAAAAACATTAAGCTGTGTTTGTTTTTCCCACAGTGGGAATCACTCCTGCAGCGCTGGGAGTGTGAAGTACAACGACACCGATCCCTGCTGGGGTTCTGTGACGAGGAAAGATGCATACCGGGTGTTTCTGGTAAGTCCCAACAGCATGCAAACGCCTCTGTTTAGCAGTTATACTTCACCTGTTTTCAAGTCCCAAAAACAATACACTATTCATGGTTTTGCATGGATACCCCAAAAACTTTCAGTGCTGAAAGAAGTACTGACATCCTTTACTCCATAAAAGGAGCAATACTGATGTGTAGAGAAATACTTTTAAATAAGTAAAGTCCTGCATTAAACTTTACTAGGGTAAAAGTATACAACTGTTGGAATCAAAAAGTAATTAAAGTAACAAAAGTACTCATTATTGAAACTGCCATTCATCTTAAAACATTTATTTAGATTTTGTTCCTCTAATATGAGGTCTTTATTCGTCTCATTTGTGCTGCAGCACCTCTTTTCACCCTCTGTTTGAAACCAAAGCCCAGTCCTCTCTGATTGGTTATCTGTTATCTCTCTGTTGTAATTGGTCAACCTCTTTATAGATGTGTCAGAAATGTCCCGCCACATAGCCTTTCACGTACAATGTGTTTGAGCGCTAGCCAGAAGGAGCACAAGTGTTACCTATGTGACTATTTTCCAGGAGTTATCAAAGGAGTCTAATGGAGGCGTTTCAGGCAGGGGGGGGGGAGGGGGGAAGTGTGTGAGACAAACTCCCTCTGAAGGGATCACAGGGAATTTAGCCTTTGCAGACCATTAACATGCACAAGAATTTAGGGTCAGGGCAGGGGTCAAATTTGACTTTTTGTAAGAAACAGCCCGACTGCAACTCCTCTGTGTAGAGAAAGATCATTTTATTTTGATCTCCGATGTGGACACGGTGTAATAATCAAAGTAATCACGCTTTTCTGCCGGGTGTTGCTTTCACACACTGTGAGTCCCTTCCTCACTCCCCTCCCTGCTGCGCACAGGAAGTGTGTGTCCTTGAAGTCCTAAGTGAGCCAAACTCTGTGATTTCCACTTGAGCTTCAACTTTGCACAGCAACAGTGATAGATGTGCTGATCTATCCTTTTCACCTCCCTCCCTCCTTCCTTCCTTCCTTCCTTTCTCTCTCTGTGCTTCCTATCCTTTTCCACATTTTAATAGAATAAGCGGAGCCCGAATAATTTGCCAATAAAGGAACTTTTCCCCTTTATCTCCTAATGGGATAAGCCTCTTACTGTATGTAAGCAAATTGAAATAATGCTGACTTGTAATCTCCGCTCAATTTGTTTACACTTGCAGTTTTACAGACTAATTTCCTAGTTTCATCATGGCCGCTCAGGGAAATAGATATGTAGCACTGATGATCATTTTGACCAGTGAACACCGACAAATGGGGTGCACTGATTTTGACCTTTAACAATAATCAGGGTATTGAACATACAAATAGCAAGAAATGCTCCTATTCCCTGCGCTCAGTGAAAGTGCAACTTCTCTGTTTGACATGAAATTTATTGTCAATAATTAAATTGAGGCTGTTTTTACAAATTCATTCTTAACTGCAAGTTGAGATATTTTAGCCCTGTGCTGTATTTACATGTTGCATTCACTACCTAAAGAGGCCCTGTTATGCTGGCTTTTACCTTTCCTGTAGTGTGTCATAGGGTTGTGTGCATGTAAATGGTCTGCAAAGGCTAAAATCCCAGTTATGAGATTCTCTTCCAGTCACGCCCCCCCCCCCAGCCTGAAACGCCGTCATTGGACTCCTTTGTTTACTTCCGTAACATAGTGGCATCACTATATAACACTGGCGTATCTATTAGCATGCGCTCCAACCATAGACTGGCTCCAACCCATTGTACGTGATAGGCAAAGGGGCGGGACATCTCTAAGCGATCGACCAATCACAACAGAGCTGGCCAGCTAACCAATCAGACTGAGCTCTGGTTTGATAGAGGGTGAAAAGAGGTGCTGCAGTATGAGAAAAATAAAGAGCTTTTTGAACATTAAAGCATGGAGACATGTCACAGTAGAGACACTACATACTACTATGAACCTGAAAATGAAAACAATATGTCCAATTTAATTAATTGAGTTTGTAGGCAGTTGTGCTGCCCCTAAAATACATATTCTTCTGATATCAAAGTAAAGATAGAATATATCATATGCTCTACAAAATGTAAAGCTCCTTGAGATTTTTTGAGACTATTAATGCAAAAGGTCTTCTTGTTTTTTGACATTGCAAAATACAAACCTGAAAATTAGCATAGTGTCTGTTCTTTAAAAAGTAATTCTATGCTTAGAATTGGGTTTTATGAATAGTTTTTTTTCTAACAGCTGAATCTCGGAAACAGACGAATGTATAATATTTTAAATGCTTGTATTTGTCCTTGAACCATCAGCTCACAGATATTTTATACTACTATTCCACATATTTTTATCCCGGAAATGTTCTTCCTCTTTTGGCTGACCTTTCCCTAAATACATCTTAAATCATTGAGCTGTAATGAAACATTGAGCAGGATCTGTTTGCAGCATACTTTACTGTGTGTGTGGCATATTCTTTAAACCTTATTTTTCTTAAACAAAGATACCGAAGCTTCAACAATCCAGGAAAATCCCTGACGAGCATGTCTGTAGTTTTTGTAGAGTATACCTCGACACATCACAACATCAAAAGTTCGTAGTAATCTCAATTAAACCCAGTTTAAAAAAGAAAAAAAATGAATGCGCCTAACCATGTATGGATATCTAAAAATCCTCCCTTTTAGGCAGCACGCTCTTTATAAAAATGTACTTTTTTTCTATATTCATTATAGATAAAATTAACAATAAAATATAGGTTATAAATTATTAAATTCCTCCCAGTTTAAGTAATCTAGTTTTGCTTGTCATCAGTCTTTTATTCAACCACTGTAATCTGTTTATCATGTACGGTAACATACATTTGTCTAGTATGGATTACTGGAGGCTGATTGCGGCCTGCAGTTGTGTTATGTGTAGAGGCTCTGTGATAATGATCCAGGGGAATAAGATGTTAGTGACATTACTGCAGCCATAATAATTCTAGAGAGTTGAGAAAATGAGGCGAGATTAAAGAGCAGCCTGATTATGGTTTTGCTGTGAAGAGCTTTAATCCCATGTGTGTGATTGGTGCTGAGAGAGAAACAGTAAAAGAGGTTGTTGTTTTGATTGAAGGAGGCTTTCCCTCGTGAGTCCTGCAGGAGAAATTGTTTTCCACACGTGTTGAAGATCACATTTACTATTCTCTTACAACTGGACTTCATCTTGACCGAATAACCTTTGGATGTTTATACGACCATCGGTCTGGTTTTAGAATTTCATACGATACAATACAATATACTTTATTTAATTGTTTATTTAGCAGGGAGAATGCACATTAATGAACACTTAAAACAATAAAATGTGTCGAGCGTAAATATGCCAGATTTAGCTTTGAGCTAATTTCCATCTGCAGTCCCTCACATAAAACATGTTATCAGAGCAACAAGCTGAGCTAGCTCGGTTAGCAGCGCAGGACTGCCCTGGAGAAACACATGAAACGACTTTATTCAGTGTTTTTACCTTTTAATCACCGGGTCCGTTTGTTTTGGAGATTTGATTGTGATTGGTGGTTTGCTGTGCATGCAGAGCCTGCATGTCAATCACTCAAGTACCCCTGACATGAGAGCAGCAAGTTTTCCTTTTGTAGCGAGCAGCAAAATAATTGTAACATGATGTTTTTGAGTTAATTTGGCTACTTAACCTGTTTTTCAGGTTTCAGGCTCGAAAATGACATTCCCAGAACAAATGACCATATCTTCACTTCTAAAAGGGTTAAATTAATAATCTTTTTTCTCAAAGTAATATGATAAACCTGTGAGTTGGCATGTAGAAAAGTCAGAATCATATAGATTTATTTATTTTAAAGAAATTCAGATTGAACATGGTAAAAAAACTGATTGAACAAAGTAAAAAACTGCTTATATTGAAAACTAACCTTGGATGATGGGTTAATAGACTAAAAGCTTTAGGAATCCAAAGTACAACATATAATAAGTACCCTGTATCAAGATTGATGCAAAACAAGTGATATTTGAACTTTTTAGACAGATTTAGCAAAACAAAAACTCTTCTGGGGCCATTTGGGTGGATTTTCCTTATCTCTGGCGCCCCTTGCTGGATTTTGACATGTGACATCTCTTTCTAACCGTCAGAGCCAATGGAATCGAGGGGAACTCCCACATAGTCCTTATTTGGTAATGTGTGTGTGTTAGACTGCTGCATATCCTAGACCGGAAGCTGCGATAACTCTGGTGGCTACCATTAGCAGCTAACTTTTGCACTCCGATTTTTACATAAAAATGGAATTATGGATTATAAATTAAAAAAATTATTACACAGACACATTATCAACCTATGGATTAACCGATTCAGCCGCGTTTTTCTCGTTTTAATGCCATTGAACACGTCTTTTGATCAGATTGACAGCTACGG